CTATATAAAGTATTACACATTTCTTAATTGATATTTCTAAAAAGTTTGATATAACCCAATTTTGTAATATTGTTATTGATTCATTAAGATAATTAATATTAGAATCATTATTATGTGAAATATAAAGCTTTATATCATCTGCATATATTTTATAGCCTATTTCTTTTGGAAGGTTGACAGGGAAATCATTAATAAAGATTGTGAATAAAATAGGTCCCAAAACACTGCCCTGGGGAACACCTGAATATGTATGAAAAGATCTTGAAAACGAGTCATTTATTTTTACACGGTAGGATCGTCCTGTTACAAAATGCTTTATGAATTCAAAAATTTTTCCAGATATACCAGCATTTTTAACTTTTGTAAGTAATAAATTTATTGGAACTGTGTCAAAAGCTTTTTTTAAGTCGATATAAATTACATCTATATTCTGATTGTTACCTACTGCATTGTAAAAATCTTCTAACATTGTTAGAAGTTGTGTAGTAGTAGATCTTGATTTGAGGAAACCAAATTGATTTTTATCAAAAAAATCCTTATTATGTAAAAATTCTATAATATTATTAGCTATGATTCTTTCAAAAACTCTACATAATGTACAAGTTAGGGAAATTGGCCTATAATTTTCTGGATCTGTTGTTATTCCTTTTTTATGTATAGGTACTATAATTGATGTTTTCCAAATGTCGGGTATATTTTTACTATCTAATATTAGTCTAAAGATTTCTGTAATATATTGTGCGATTTGATCACACGATCTCTTTAATAATATATAGGGTATTTGATCTGGTGATGTTGAATTTCTATTTGGAAGTCTTTTAAGTAAATCTAGAATTTGCAGAATATCAAAGTTTATATCTTTGATAAGATTTTGTGAATTAGAGTTAGGATTTTGAGAGTAGACGTCAATAAATTCTTGACTTTGAGTTTCTTTATCAGTGAAGTTACTTTGAAAACTTTCTGCAAGTAACTCACATTTTTCCTGATCTTTTGTAAGTATATTTCCTTTTTTATCTATTAATGCGTCAATACATGCGTTTGTTTTAAGTTTCTTTTTAATAAATTTGTGAATTGCATTTGCACCTTTTGATATAATGGTGTTCTCCTTATTATAATGAAATTTTTGTAATTGAATTTTAAGTTGTCGTGAGATAATTTTATATTTTGTTGCTAGATTAGAATTAGGAGATTCCTTCAAGGTTTTGTGTAATTTTAGTTTTTCTTGATTCAGAGATCGGATTTTTTGTGGATATTCGTTTTTAATTATGGTATTTATAGTCCTAAGTGGTATGAATTTATCATAATAAAAATATAGTATTTCAGTAAAAGAATTATATTTTTCATTGATTGCATATTTGTCAGACATATATTTTATAAAATCAAGTTGTGTTAGCTCTATGTTTAACTTGGAGAAACCTTTTTCTGTTACTTTTCTTATATATATCTTCTTTTTTGGAATACGCATAGTGCATAAGGAAAGATTGAACTTTAAGGATTTGTGATCAGATGTTGAAAAATTTTCAGTGATCTCTAAATTTCTAACTAAGTCATGGGGTCTCGAAAATACAAGATCTAAGATATTATCGCCGCGAGTAGGTGATGTAACATGTTGTTTAATTTGGGTGCGATTAACAAATTCAATAAATATTTGTGTAGTATTATCGTTTGAACAAGAGTTTGTTAACCAGTTTATTGTGTTAATATTAAAATCACCAGCTATTATTAAGTTTTTATGGTTTAAGTCAGCAATATATTTAAGTATTTTATTAGTACTAGATTGATTAAGTGATGGGGGTCTATATAAAGTAATAACAATAGTAGGTTTGGTAATTAGAATCTCAATAATAATAATTTCGCAACCAAATTTTGTCCCACAGAACAAAAGTTTGACAGGTATAGTTGATAAAATTAAAAGACAACAGCCACCTCCCCTTTTATTTGGACGATTTGCAAAGTAACACTGATATTTATCACCCATTGAAAAATCTGTTTTTATACAATTAGATTGAGTAAGCCAGCTTTCGGTAATCATACAAATGCTAGGGTTATGTATTTCAAGAAAATGTTGCAAATCAGGCACTTTATTATTTAGTGATCTGCTGTTAAAGCAAAGGCATGTTAAATTTTTTATATCTATATCAATGTTAGAATTTTTTGACTTTCGGGGTTTACTCAATTTATCCTATTTAGTATTGAGAGGTTTAGGTTCGCGTAACTCCCTTATTTGTAGGTCAACTACATAATATTTAAAAAGTTTGCATGAAGCATTAAGTGAATATGCTTTAGACCGTTGTGAATATAATATTGCTAATTCGGCCGGGATCATATCCCTTCGAACAGTAAGATTTTGGGGAAGGGAATGTATTTTACGCAAAGTGTTTCTAAAAGAATACAAAAATTTGTCACGCGAAATAGAGTTTTTAAAAGAAATTTTAATTAATTTTGGTTTTTTGTTTATTTCGCTAGACATATTTTTGTTTTGTGGGTGACGGTGTGTATGTTCTGGCAAATATTCATTAGTAAGTCCAATAGAATCAATAATTTTCCTACCACTTCCTTCTCATCCATAGATTCAGGTAGTTTTTCTAGAACAGCTCTACATGATTTTTGCTTGAGAAGATCCCCATTAGATGCTGCTGAAGATATTAGTTTCATAACAAGGTCAGGTGGAGGACTTAGGGCAGAAATAGGCGAACCCCATGATGGTTGGGAAGTTGTGTTGTTGTTATTATTGTCAATACGTGTTAAAATTTCTTCAATTTTTAATATTTTTTCTTCAATTTTTTCAATACGTGTCAATACAATTTCATTAGTATTATTTTTTTTATTTGATGTTGTCAAGGGAGTAACAATATTAGAAATTTTGTTGTTAATTGCTCTACTAATTTTTCCAATCGATCTATTCTTTGTTCTATTATATTGCCTTCATCCTCAGAACTTTCTAGTGATTTTTGTCTTTTCTTTGTCGATTTGGACATTGTCAAATCTTAAACTTGGGTATTAAACCAAGTTTAAGATTTGAAATTAAAAAAAATACAATTAAAAAAAATACAATTTGAAAAAAGAGTGAATGAAATGATAATAAAAGAAATGATAAATCAAATAGTTGTATCACTGGTAATCGTTCTATTCTTATCGAGCATTATAAGTGAGTCAGCTTCACCCATTACTATGAGCATTACCCCTCCCTCTGGAATTGGTCGGCTAAATTTTATATTAACGGCTGTTGTTCCATTTTTAATCAAATCAAAAAGTCCACTTTGATCCTCGCCACTATTTGTAAGGTTAAATACAAAGATGCAATGCGTGTAGGCATATTGCTCAAAAGTTATTCCGTTGCTTTCCAGGGAATTTGAAAAACCTATAGCCTCATTCATATCATTAAAAGCTCGCGCGAACTTTCCATTGGGGAAATCCAAGTCATAGGGAGCCTGGGGGTAACTTCGACCGTTTGCAATTATACTAATTTCTCTTATATTGAAGGATTGAAAATTAAAAGGACTTCTGTCGATAGCTCCCACGTAGTCATTATTTGAGACTAACCCAAGTATTATCCTCCTAGGAATTTGATCCATAAATAAATTTGCATTGAACTCGTAGCGACCTTGACTAATAAACAAGGGTTTCATCATTGTCTTCCTTATGGCATATCTTGCGGGTCGAATATCCAACTTTTTTGCTATATCTAGAGCTAACCCATCCATTATATCGACTTTCTTCACATATAGTTTACAGTTAGTTACTTCGAAACGGTAACGATTTGTTTGTGGTATTCCTGCTGCTGTTGGTGGGGCAATTAAAACAAAACGTGAATCATTAGGGAGAATTTCTATATCTATTTCACAATGGTTAATTAAATATAAGGGTTGGTTGAAAAGGTCGGCATCTATCTTTGCCATAAACTGTGCTGTATTGCTTGTCCCAAAACGTGCTTTCCTCGAATTAAATCCTATTCCTGCCTGTAAGTTTAATCCTGTGTCCCCATAATACCCCGCAACATTTAGATGGGAATTTTTTGCCGCTGTTGAAAAGCTTAATTCGTGTGAAAGGTAAGACTTGTAGGCCATTAACGAATTGGAGTTGAAAACTTCTCTTCCATTTATACTTATTCTCATATTATTAATAAATGTGTGACCAATTAATTGGATAGGGGCAACAATGTCGTTTTCGCTTAGATTTACCCATGTGCCGTTTGCCCCTTCTTTTCTTATACGGAATTCAGTAAATAAGTAACATTTTGTGAGATCAATATAATTTTGACTAGAATGGATTTTGAAGTGGTATGGAGTATCGGTAAGGGGATTACTTGGTAGAATTTCAAAAACTTTTGTTGAAGAAATGCTCACATTTGTGGGAGGAATTTGAAAAAAGTCCAAAGCATTTGTAATCGAATTAATACTATCTTTATCTATTTTGTGGTATGCCATTTTTTGTAATCCTTTTAAATTTAATTAATAAAGTCCGAATGCGTCTGATCTGACTCGTTTTTTGTTAACTTTTCCAATAATGATTTTGTGATTTGGCTGGGAATACTTTCTTTTATCTTTTATACTTTTTCTTGAGCCACCGCCACTTCCAAATTGTTTAGGCATGCCTCCCTTCTCAAGTAGTGTGTCTATCCCCTTCTTTCCCTCACTAGTTAGAGCATCTTTGATATTCTCTCCTTGGTTTACTCTTTCTAACACACGCTGCCCCGTGTTTAAAGCTTCAGCTGATACAGTAGTCCCCACACGACGAATAATAGGAAGAAAAAAGCGCCAAAGTCCTCGAAGAACATCGCCTATTCCCGCACCACCTTGTAATCCATATCCTCTTTGAAAAGGGGAAGCTCCTTTGAAATAAGTATAAGTATTTTCTAAACCGCTCCCTTCTTGTATATTTAAAGGTGTTTGAATAAAATCATCATATCCTACTGTAGAAGTATCGAATAAAATATGAACCATTTTTATTAAATTAACTTTATGAAAAAAAAATAAATGAATACAATAAATGGATGGATTTTAAAAATTTATCACTTTTTTGAATATCAATACTATTAAAACTGTTCCGTATGCGAAAGGAACTAATCGTCCATTATCCAATGTTCTTAACTCGATCTCTATCTCATTAATCTCTCTAGGTAGGACACGGGCATATATGGGTGTATCATAAATCTTTTCGTTATATTCTCCTGGTGTTGCGCCAGAGACCGAAACTACTCGCAGAAGAGAGCTGAGTGAATTCCCGATAATCATATTCTCTGTAAGACCATTTGCATATACAGCAAAACTAGAAAATCCTCCCCTTAGATCAGATCCATATTTTGCAACTTCCTTATTTTTAATATTTTGAGGGTTTTCAAATCCTAGAACATATCCTAATTGTGGTGACAAAGAAATGTGATCAATATTTTCATGATTAAATAAAAGTCTAAATCTTGCAAAATCTATGTTGTATTCAAAAACAATTGAGTCTATAATATTTTTGAGCAGGGTCAAATTTCCACTTAATCGTATACCACTCCTCCATAATAAAAATTTTGAACTATCACTGTAATTATTGTTATCCGACACAGTTTCGCTCCCTATGGAAAATTCAAACTCTTCCTCTTCTTTATTTGTTTTATTGTTTTCCTCTTCTTCAATTTCTGCTAATCCTAATGAGAAGAAGGGAGTAGTGATGACAGGTGTTACAATTGTTTTCTTAATTCTATCATTTTCTATTTTTTCTAATGATTTTGGTTCTGGATCTTTTCTATCTTTTTCAATTTTAGTAGGGGTTGGTGTAGTAATGACCTTTTCACCTTTTGTTTGACTTTTCTCATTCTTTGCTTCCACTTTCTGACCATCTGTTTTTAAAGGTTTTTGAGATGAAACATTTTCATTAGATTTTATTTTCCCCTCATTATTGGGTTGCGCAACATATTTTTCTTGTTTTGGTTGGTCTTGTGTCAATTTTATTTTTTTATTTCCTTCATTTAATATTTGAACATTTTTATCAACTAATTTTGGAGGGGAGGAAGGAACAATAACCTTTTGACTTTTATTTAATTCTTTTTTTGCATCTGCTATTCTTGGTGGTGAAGATAGCTAAAAAAGTAATTAAAATATTTTTGAAAAAAGTAATTTAATACTTGACTCTCTTTTGGTTGTGGTGGTGGTGAAGAAAGAACATTTCTTTTTATTCGTTTTTCTAATCTTGGAGGAGAAACAATTATATCTTTTGACGTGCTATCAGGATCGAAAACATGGTCTATTGCAGTAATTTGATGTTTAAGTGTCGAATTTAAAAAATCGCATAATTTTTGAACGTTGGTATGCGATGCCCCTGGGATTGGTATTCGAAGAATATGCTTCTGTCCTAAATCGTCTGTGAAGTGTATTTTTAACCATTGCTCATCCAAAGTTCCAATAGTTGAGGGCCATGAATAAGGATAACTTATACTGTGTAATCCACACACCCAATTCCCATTAAAATAAAGTGGTTTTGGTAAATGTACACGGAATTTATTTGGTCTATTTGATGAATAATCTGGGACATTACTTGGTAAAAATACGAAAAAGCTATTTGACATTTTTATTAAATTTTGTTAAAATGATACAATATGAAAAAATGATTTGTCTTTTATACTAAATCTGATTCATGAATCCATTCTCTTTCTGGGTATCCGATAAATTTAACAAGTATATCATATGTTCCATCATCTCTTTTCTTTTTCCGGATAACTTTTTCTATGCGGTACTCTGTAGCTGCATCTTTTCTTACTCTAGACATTTCATTTTCATAAAAGGATCCTTTGAATTTTTCCCCTTTATCGTCGCGCAATTTATATAATATAGGATTCACATGATCTTTTACTTTTTCCACCTCTAATATTTCATCTCCCCAATTTGGTAGATAGCCTTTTTCGAAATGACCCTTGTCTCGACTAATTCTTACGTAATCATCCTTTTTAAATTTTGGTTTCTTGGAATTTTTAGTTGAAAAAATATTTCCATAAATTCTCTCCCATACTTTTTGAGCATTTTTAAAATTCACATCTATTGGACGCATTCCATGCACACGACAGTAAGATTTATTAATTCCTTCAATAATTTTTGGTAAAATATCAGTCCAATTAAGTTTGTGATTTTGCGAGAAATATCGGTAAAGTCTTTGTTTTAAGTTTCTAATAGCCCTTTCTGCTAGCGATGCCTTTACTGTAGAATGAGTTGCTTCATATTTTGATATTTCTTCTTTTTCAAAATATTCTTTAAGTAACCGATTTTTAAATTCAGTCCCTTTGTCAGAAAATATCCTGTGGGGTTTCATAGGCATTTGAGTAATAAGATTACGAAAAGCTTCCAACATGTCTTCTGATTTCTTTGATTTTAAAGTGGTAGTGAAGACTCGTTTGGACAAGACATCTATTCCCAAAAGTATATATCGATTGCCTTTATTATGCCTAGAAAGAGACTGCATATCAGCTAAGTCTACTTGTACATCTGTCATAAACCCTGCTGCAATAGTTTTACTTCTTTTAAAGTTCACCCTCTTTTGGCGCATAAGGGTATAGGTACGGTGCCCCTCCAAATAATGTTTGATTACATTTCTTGGTATATGTTTAAACGTTTTCTTTGCCTCCCTCCATAAACTATCTACACCCGCATAAGCTGAAGGGGAACTAGGATCATTGTAAAGTCTGTCGAGAAGTTTTGTAAAGTCAGCCATTTTTAGAAAATTACCAAAGTGTAGGTTTAAATTTATTAATATCCTCTTGTGTAGGCTTTTGTTTTGCCCATTTATTTTTTCCTAATTTGATCCTTGCAGCGGCTAATCTTTTAATCCAACTTTTTGATGCATTTTCTGATTGTTTCTTTGTAACAGGTCTTCTTAATCTTTTAATAGGGATAAGGGTAGTTCCTTCGGGGATAACAAATTTTCTTTTTAGCTTCTGACGCCTTTTGATATCATCTTCCTTTCTAGCTTGAGCTAAAGCTGATTGATCTATAGGGACTTTATATTTTTTAATATCTCTTTTTCTTTCTAATACTTTTCTTCTTCTTTCTTCTTGCGCAATCTCTTTTAATCTCTCTTGCCTAATATCACTATTTTTTCTACGTTTAAACACATCTGAGTCAGTCGAGTCTAATTCTCTCTTTGATACTTTTAGAAGTATGGGAGGAGAAGGACTTAATGGTGCATTTTGTGATGCTATAACAGAGTTTGGTTCTACAATATCTTCAGGTGGAGAAAATTTTTTATTTGTTTTTCTCTTTGGTTTCCTTTTCTTTTTTATTTCTCTTTTTATTTTAATTCTTTTGCCATTATTTTTCAAATTTATTTCTAATGCTTGATTTGATGTAGGAGGTCTTGGATCTAATTGTATATTTTGACCACTTTTAGTTGTTGAAGGAATGGAGGATGAAGAAAGAGAAGGGACAATGTTGTATGCGTGATTAGGGGGTTCTTGGGGGTAATATGAAAAAGAATTATCACTAATCCAATTGTCGTCGTTATCTATGTCATCATTTGCAGAAATATACGATGCGCGCCGTGAATTACTTTTGGGTACAATAGTGCCTTTAGATTTATTGTTAACTAGTTCAACTTTTACTGGTCTATTTTCACGTTCATTTCTCAATTGTAAATATCGCCTCAACTCTTGATTATAGTGAACATTTTTAGAGGATTCACTTTCTTTTCTTCTTTTAGATCTTTCTAAAGCTCGACGAGTAAAATCTAGATTTGGTTCACCTACATCGCTTGTTGTAAGACCGCGATAAATATCCTCTGGGACAAGAATAAATTTATTTGCCATATTTTTTAAATTTTTATTAAACTTTTTAAAATGAAAATATAATAATGAATGGTTAATTTGTATCGGTATCACTTTTCATAATTTTTCTTCCAATTTCTATAAGTATTGGGGTAAGAAGTGCTGTAAGGACACCTCCTAGCCCACTTCCCTCCTGAGAGATAATTTTTCTTGCTCCCCTCTCACTTCTGGCACGACTCATGCGGCGAACAAATTCGGCATAGGGTAAAAGACGTTTCCGTTGGCGAGTAGTTAGTTGATAACGCGCTTTTACAATATTCAAACATATTTCTGCTATAGCAAGAAGTTGTTGACTGTTAGCCTGTTTAAGCATGCGATGACGTTTGCTATCCGATTTAGATCTTGCCAATAAATTTAAAAAATCTTTATTATCCATTATAAGTGAACTAATATTGCACTGAGATTTAGACCCCATTTTTAGGAATGAAAATTATTTTATCGTTGTCGTCTTTAAAAATATTTGTACGAAGACGTAATGTTGGATCAGAAGAAGCATGCATATCAATTAATAGATATCCATAAGGGATGTTTGTTGCTTGCCGATAGGAATCGAGAAAATAATCTAACTTCTTGGGAAAAAGTTGAGCACCAATGTTTCTAACGGAAAGAACAGAGTTTGGAGAACGCATAATAACTATATACTGAGCATTTTGTCGGGCAACTTTAATTTTCTTTTCAAATAAGTTTTGTGTCACAAATACTATAGAAAAATTTTGGTGGTGTGACTTTTTAGTAAATAATTCCGACAAATATTTTTCATCGATAGAGAGCAATAAATCGTCTAGAATAATCAGAGAAGGTTTTGGAAGTCTTTTAATTACATCTTCGGGTGGCACACCAGCGAATACACTTACACCAGATTTTTGAAGAACGGGGACAATATTACTCATTTCACCAAAACAATAGAGAATACTTTTAGGAGGAGGATCGATTAAATCTAATGCTTGGGTAATAAATCTTAGGAGAAAAGTACTCTTTCCACTGGAACTTGGCCCAGAAATAATTAGACCGAAAGGAAGTTTAAATTTTAATTCTTTACTAGAAAAATTAATTGATTCCATTAAAATTAATAAGTAATAATAATACAAATAAATGATTTTAAAATAAAAAGAATAAGATTGATAAATCAAGGAAGTGGTATATTATCTAAATTTTCAATATGAGGGGGACTTTCTATAAGCTCTTTTTCTTGTTCTTTTGTACTTTTTTCTTCACTATTTTCTTTTTCTATCGGAACAACGGTTGAAGTAGTAGAAGTTGTAGTGGTACATCCTATGTTGTCGAAGAATTCCTGAAGAATATTTTCAAATTCTTCATCAGCGGGAATTTCTTGTTTTATCTTCTTGGGCGAAGGTGGCTTTATTGGTGATACTTCAACTTCTATCTCGGGCTGAATATTTTTAATAATAGGAGTCGCTGCACATGGTGGAGATCCATGTTCAATGTTGAAGATTCGACCCTTGTTCTTGATCTATAATTTTAAAAAATATAATTTTTCATTTTAGTAATAAATACCTTAAAAAAGCAATGTCCTGGAAGATCGTGGATGGTGTCAAACGGTATGAATGTGGGTGTTTTAATTCGCGTGCAATAACAGGTCACCCCCTCTTTGGTGACAACAAAGTCGAGTTCCACTTCAGACCCCCTGCACTCTCGACAGCGACCGGCATGGTCAAAAGGCACAAAACGTGGAGTAGAAATGCGTTCGGAAGCAGAAATTGTTAGGCCATTAGCAGTAATATTAAATTCTATTTCGGGGAGAATTTGGCCGATGAGAGCTTTTTTGTTGGACATATTGATTGCCATTATTTTTAGAGAAAATTTTAAGAATGATTTTAGAAAAAGACTGGAAATCACATTTTGACTTGAGAATTTTAATTTTAAAATATTTAATTTAAAAAAGTTTAAAAAAAG